GTAAACCTTTAGTCATGCCTCAAGTTATTCCAAACCTTGGATTACTATTGGAGTCGCCTTAAACCCATGTCTTGAGTTGTTTTGGATTTTAGATCATACATGAGTTTACTCAAACTCTAGGTCAAGCCCCAACTTGTTTTAAACCCAATACAATTTGGAGTTACCACTAGATCTTATGTCACAGCTTGAGTTGTTTTAGTTATCGACTCATGCCTTAGATCTTAAGTCACATCATAAGTTGTTTTTAACTTTAGGTTATATATAAATCACTTTAAATCTCGAGTTATACTCTGAGTTGTCTTAAGCCTTAGTTATCTTAGGCCTTAGTTATTTTTAAGCAACCTAAACCCTAAGTAACACCTCAAGCTATCTTGGATCCCAGTTTATTCTTGAACTACCTTTGATCCTAAGTTTGAGAATAGCCTCAAGTTGTTTTAAATCCCAAATCGTTATCCAAGCTATCTCAAATCTCAAGTCACTCATCAAGCTACCTAGACCTTGAGTCATGCCTAAAGTTGTCTTAAGATTAGTTCATACAATGACTTGAGTTTTGGGACAACTTGAAAATTCATTCAAGGTCCAAGATAGTTTGGGTGTGACTTGAGGTTTGTGATGGTTTGAGAGTGAACCGAGGTTTGGAACAACATAAGAGTGAACCAAAGTCCAAGATAGCTAAGGGCATAATTTAGGTTTGAGGCAACTCAGAGCAAGTTCAAATTGAATAAAGATTCAAGATAGCTTAGACCATGACTTAAGGTTCACAGTTGCTTAAATTATGAGTTAAGGTCCAATACAACTCGAGTTGTGATACAAATTTTAAAGGCTCCTGCTATGTGATTTAAGGGTTATTTACTTATGCCTTTTAGAAAATTTAAAGATTTTTTCAACTCAAAAATAATAAAAAAATATTTTCCATAAAAAATTTTCAAAAATATTCCAAACACAAAATAAAGAAAATACTTTCCATGAATATTCATATTCACGCATTCAATAAGCGCTTTCAAAATTCAATAGTCACACGTCCTTTTACTCCTTGGAATCTCTCTCTGTTGTTTCTGTTGTCTCCTGCTCCTACCTTTGCTCTAACCTTTATTTATCCTTAACTCCCTTCTCTCCGCTCTCTACCTCTGATCTTTTCCCACTTTTTTCCTGGCGGATAAACCGGGAACTTTGCACATGTAACCAACACCTAGTCTGGTAATCCCTTTATCCTTCCTCGTTTCCTTGCACGTTCTTCTCTTCTTGTCCCAACTTTTACACAAATCATTCTGTCTCTGTCTCTCCATTTATTGTAATTTTTTTAAACTTTTCTCTAGAATATTAATGGGGCATTAACCTTCGTTTCTGACGAAACGATGTGATGATTCTTCCCATCTTGTATTTCTGGGTATTGGTTGGCTTGTTTTGTTGGCTAAAATTGGTGTTTTTGGGTTTGGGTTTTCTTCCTAGATCATAATTGTGTTTTTAGAAGTTCAGTTTTGTTTCCCAAGTTCTAGTCTTTTTCCCCTTTAATTTTGATTCATTTTCCTCTACAATTACATAGATTTGAACCCCTTTTCAGTCTCTTTTTTCATCCTGAATTTTGATATCTGCAATTAGTAATGGCTCAGATCTCATTTCCTCTGTTTGTTTTTACGATTCTACTCTAATTGAGTATGTTTTTTTGTTCGGAGTGGAAGAAGTGAGAGGAGATGGAAGAAGATTGCGAGTTGAGGCGCTGGGATGAGTTAATTCCTGATGCACTTGGGCTAATTTTCAAGAATCTCTCACTTCAGGAGATACTTACTGTAATCCCAAGAGTGTGCAAATCATGGGGAAGAGCAGTGGCTGGGCCTTACTGCTGGCAGGACATCGACATTGAGCAGTGGAGCCAACACTGTAATCCTGAGACTCTTGATAGACTGCTTCGAATGTTGATAACTAGAAGCTCTGGTTCTCTCCGCAAGCTATGTGTTACTGGTCTCTCAAGCGAGCAGAGTTTTTCTTTCATTGCAGACAAGTAAGGAAATATCTTTTATAGTACTTCAGAAGTTAGTTGCTTGGTGTCTGTCTTATTAATGTCCTTTATTAATGTCCTTGTTTTGTAGACAAGTAAGGACCTTAATAAGACATAAACTAGCCCTCCTTCAATTTAGTAGAGATTTTATACAAAATCAAGAGGGCATTGCCTTTTCTTGCGTAGCTTCATCATGGAATGTTTTATTATATCGTTGGTTTCATTGCTTACTCATATTTTCCCTTGTGTCAAGTGCCAAATCGCTTCAGATTTTACGGCTGCCAAGAAGTGAAATAAGTGATTCGATAGTGGAACAGGCAGCTGCAAGGCTCTCTGCAATAACTTTCTTGGATGTAAGCTACTGCAGAAACATTGGAGCACTGGCCCTTGAAGCTATTGGGAAGAACTGTAAATCTCTAACCTGGTTGAGAAGAACAATGCACCCACTAAAGGTGGCTGAAAAGCTTTCTCAAGATGATGAGGCCTTTACCATTGCAGCCACAATGCCAAAGCTCAAGCGGCTTGAGGTGGCCTACCTGCTCATCAGCACAGAAGGCATTCTCAAGGTACTCGGAAGCTGCCCTGAACTCGAATTAGTAGACATTCGAGGATGTTGGAACGTGAAACTCGATGAAAACTTGTTAAAGCGGTTCCCTGGGTTGAAGGTCGTTGGACCTCTTGTTGTGGACTACTTAGGGATGAAAGGCTGGGATAATTGTTCAAATTACTCAGCTTCCTCTGGTTACTTGGCCTGGGACTTTATTGCTGGAGAAATTGATGATTATTTAGATGATGAGTTATTAGACATGGATTGGGACGACGACCAGAGCATGGAGAATGTAGAAATGAGGTTCTACGATGGTTTTGATTTCGAAGACGCTGCATTCGATTGGCCACTCTCTCCCTGACCCAAGGTTTGCATGTCAAAAGTGTTGTTTCAGCTCATAAAGGGGTTGACAAGCTCAGCTAATAAACCCTGATATCGTCTCTTGTTTATGTATGTATGTATCAGAATATTTCCAGTGTATGTGTATGGGATTAAAGCATGTATATCATCCCTTACAATAATTATGAAATGTGAAAGTGAGATTTCACAGATATTCTAAATTGGTGTGTTCGTCAAACTACCATGGCCCATTTGGAAACTTATCAAAAATAGAGAAAAAGGATGACAACTTATCTTTTTGACTTTGCATTGATGCTTTTCAGTGCATTATTGAGTGCAAATGGTCAATTGTGGACAAGAAGAAGCATACTTTGTGCTCAAGTCACCTGGATAAAATGCCATTATACCAACTTAAAAGCAGTGGGGTCTGAGGGATCTATTTTCCAACTCTAAGCATAGTCGCTTGATTATTCAGCAATGCAGACAGTTGCTCCACGCGGCTTGAATTGGTCATCCTCAATCATCCATTCACCTGTATTACCTAATATCTAACAGGAAACAAGAAATATCCTCTATGGTAAAACAGAAGCATGTTTATCATTACTTAGAATAGATTAACTAATGTAATGATGTGAGAGTAAAGGTCCCAACTAATGCTGCATTATCAATTAGACAATGCAAACTAGAGTTCCAACCTGGACAAGGTAAAGTCATTCATTTCGGACTTAAGCAGTTTGATCGGTACAAGTCCTCATCTAAAATCAAAGGTGGTATACTCCATGTTCCAAGAGAGTGTCCAGAGATCCTTCCACCTGGACAACATGAGAAGTATAAGTTGCACCTTCTAGAAAGATGGCCAACTTTTATATCATTCAATTTTCTTACCACCTTCTTTCGTGGCCTCCTCACATCTTCTCTGGTAATTCAAGGACAGCTGAGGATCCAAAGTTTTCAATAAGTTCCCATACCTCTCTTCAGCCTCAGTAATATATTTTGCCTGAAAAATAAAAGGGAGAGATTTCCGTTTTCAATTCATAAAAATAAAAAAGATGGTTCGAATGTGTGCTCAGAAATAAATTATTGCCTAGGTCAAAGATGTAGAGTTAAAGATAAATTCACTCGGCAGAATTTACCCTATATAAATGAGAATGGAGTTTTGCGAGTATAGGGAGAAAGCAAAAATCACTTAGAAAAAATAATAATAATAAGCCATTTGTTTGACGTCAGTATTGACTCTGACAACAACCTCATGAAGTTAGCAAATTGTATTTCCAGTCTTTGACCACTGAGCTTGTATTTTGAATGTGAATGGCCCGAGAGCATGAATCATGGCTTTATTTCCTTTTTCCTTTTGGCGAAAGCATGATTCATGGTTGCTCACAGATGTAACATCTATCAAATTTCTACAAAAGAACAGCTTGTTTTACACTCACCAGCATAGCTGGGGCCACGGACGGACCATATATTTTCACGAACATGCGCAAAATATTGAAATTATTTTTTAATACATCATCCTGCATGGAATCCACAATATATGGTGAAATCAAAATGGACGAATAAAATGGCATCATGTAACTAGTACTTAGAAAACCATCGGGGAACAAACTTACCTCATAGTCAAACCTGCAGCATCACCACATCATGTTGTCTTGAGTGATAATGACACCATGCTTGGCAGATATCATGACAATGAAAATGATTGCATCAGTTATCCAAGCCACATATTGTAAAACAAATATGTTCTTGACCACTTATAAGAGCTGGATAGAACAAGAAGAGTATGCATGTCGGAGGAGAACCTTCATACTCATGCATGCAACTCTCCAACTCTCAAGCAGATCTATATGCATGCCAATGGATGCTTGCAGACCCACATTATACCCATACAGTTTATCATCCATTTTGGTCACTATAATTAGATTGAAGGTAGAAGAACAAAAGAGTATTTGCCATTTATCTCTTATCAGAAAATTACATAAGAAAGGCACTTACAGGTCATCAGATATTTCTACTAGGAATTCAGAGACTGACAGGAATTCCATATGCAAGTCATTCACCTTAAAATTTTCAAACAGAACATTTTTAGAAAAATGAAATATGTCATCTAAAATGAAGAACTGAGTGCATAAAGTGATAAAACTGCATTAGCATTTAATATTTTGATCACTAGAATTTGCACAATTCATCAAATTTCCAGTCCTTTCCACTGTTTGAGATTGAAAAAGAAAAGAAAACAAATATAAAAGTTACAGGAGAAACTCAAATGAAGAATTATTTTCTGTTATCAGGCAAGACTTGAAAACTAGCACTGTTGATGGAAAGAGAAAATAAAAATAGAGGCAATCTTTACAAGAGTGCCAACTGCCAATCACTGACCTTGCACTGTTAATAACTATGAGAATGCTAGAATAGCTCATAAAAAATAATTAAATAAACATAGGCCGGCACAAAGGAAATATATTGTGTATAAATATAAAGGTTAGAGCAGATTACCTCTTCTCCCCTCAATTGATACAACAGAAGATTCAGCACCCGATAATCAAAGGACTTCAGATGAATTGCCCTCAAAGAATCTTCAATAGAGATCTGCAAAACAAACTCTTTCTTTATAATAAAATGAATAAACAGGGAGAAAGTTGATGTGACCGTTAAGAAATTTAATTCCTTTGGATAAATGTGACTCCTTAAAATCAGAGAGTGCATTCTTTTCAAAAACTATTTAACAAGCAAAAGTCTAAAAGATGCATGTTTTATGATCAGGAGATTTTGTACACACTATAGGTGTTGTATAGTCCAACTGCTCACTAACAAAAGCTACAGGCTAAACATGGTGATTAAATAGTTTATAAGATTTTAGCACTTTGCCATCTTTATACTTGCCAAGAGTGAATCACTTTTGATTTAAATGTAAGCATCAAGATTCTTTTCATTTCCTGGACCAGCACTCAAAAGTACTGAAAAAATGGCTTACTGCACTAGTAAAAGCCGCATAACTCGTACACAGAATCTGATTATTTCCACTTTAAAAGTTATGGTTGAAGCTTTAATCCCCTCATGCCAATACATGTGCATCTGACAAGCTAATAGAACTCTTTTATTATTGGCTGGTCAACACCAAACATTACAAGCTAGTAAAACTAAATTAAAGGATATAGTTAGAATGCAAATACAAGAGCATATAACATTATGAACCATGTTAATACACGTACCTCTTTATTGCCAATTACTGCACAGCATAGCTTCCTTTCCAGAGCCCAATACTCCTCTCCACCCCTAAATTCCTCTATGATCCTTAAGCCATGTAGCAAAACAAAGCATAGCAAATTCAAATTCAGTCCCTAAAGTTCTGTTTTCCCCTTGGAGGAAAAAAAAAAAAAAATCACCTTTCTGTAAGTAGGTCACGGCATTTAAGAAGACCAACAAGTGGCTTGAATGGATCTGTTTCAAATGCGTCATTGAATTTTGTTCTCCTGCCTTGATCCACTATCTACACCTTATAAAGAAGAACATTGGCCAACTGAACGATACTTAATTCATGATTTTCTTAGCAACTTCTTCCAGAGTTCTTAGTGTTACCTCCTTAGAACCTCTTTCTAGACCAGGAACTTCCTCAGTTGCTATGTGCAGTATCTCCTCATTCAAACCATCTAACTGGATTTACAAAACTATGGCTACTGAGAAAAGGCAGAAAAAGAGAGACGGTAGCAAGATATCAAAGTTTGATGGCTGCAACACCATAAATCAAACTGCTGCATCACCTTTTAACCTTGCTTAGAGTTATCAGTGGGGAATTCACTTCCAGAAATTCTTTCATTGGAAGCAAAATGAATACTTTTAGAAACTATAGAATGAAATAAGGCTTATTCCTCTTGGAAGAACTTTGCAGTCCCTTCTGGAAGTACAAGAGAGGGGAAATGTCCACACATTTTTAACACCTATTTTTCATTATTGTTTTGAAAACCAAACAAGCTAAAATGCTATTATAAATTTAATCCATATTCCTGCATTAATAAAATAAAATTAGCAAAGATTACAGCATTTATTAAAGTCCAGATTGTTACCTGATACATATAACTTTCTACAAATGTGAGGAGAGGCAAATATTTGAAAAGTGATTGCGGCGTGTTTATGTCCACTCCATGAAACATAAAATAAGATCTGCACTGTTAATTGCAAGCAGAAATAAATCAGTGGTTGGGATCATTGGATGCATTCTGCGTGACCATGGTGTAAAGTTTCTTTCCTGTCTAACAACTTTTTTGTTTCAATATAAGATTTGCTTCACTAACCATAACATTATTTTCCACAGCAATTTCTTAAAATGAAAAAGGTAAACAAAAGAATGCATTGTAACCAATAGGTTCCCAATAGAAATTGAGAAAAGATCCTCTTGCTTGTGGTTAAATAATCTAGTTTTATCTAAATTCTAAAAGTTTGGCTTTCATTTTGATGATATAACATTTGCTGAACATCATTACAAATTTCTAGAACAAATCTAAAATATTTATCAATCAGCATAGCCTCATATGCAAATTCCTGACTTGTTTCTGAATATGTAAAACCAAATAAATTCTCAGTGCTTACAAAATCCTCGAGGGTAGAATTTGCACGTTCCATTGCATCCAATCCCACCATAGCAACATCTTTCTCCTTCACTTGCAACGAATCACAATGCCTCTTACCAATCTTAGTCCCGTGAACATGATTCTGTTGATAACCTGCAAAAGCTTAAGAATCCAAACATTGTTCATAATCATAAACAACCAATGCATCAGATAGCCTGATCCCACCATAATGAAAGCTAAATCAAATAGAACAGGATAAAACCTCTGTTATCCTGTTTGCCTTCAGAGTGCAATACAGTTTTCAGCCCAAGCCACTGCGACGCCTCCTTAAGAAACGCCGCTGAAATCTGCAATTTGGAAATGGTTGTCTCAATTATCATAAAATTGCTGGTGTGAACTTGGCATTAATCAGCAAATAAAGGCTCACTTTTGGCACATATTCAGAAATCAAACTGCACTTCTCCCCAATGTCGAGCTCGCCGCAAGGTTGTACCTTTTAACCAAATCAATTTCCCAAAAAAATAAAAATTTAAAAATAATTATTGCGGATTATCTGATGGCAGTAGATGAAAAAAAAGTTGTTTGGCGGCTGAGAAAGTAGAGAGAAAACTAGAAATCAGAAAGAAAGAAAGAAAGAAAGGGATAGAAAGAATACCAAGAGAAGGATGAGATTGGCGAGGAAGCGACTGGAGTCGAGATTGGAAGAATCGACGAATTCTCGCGACTGCATGAACATCAAAACACTCTGAACTTGCTCTAGCTTCCTCAACTCTTCCATATTAGCTGGCTCAGTCTCCCGCCGCTGCCTGGCGCTCTGCTTTGGCAGTGTGCTAATGACTGGTGCGCTCTGTGAAATTGAAAGCAGAAACCGACAAAATGCTGAAGGCTTATGCTCCGTTTGGCAATAATTTTCACGGTATTGTTGTCCTCAGTCC